TTTGGGCTTTGACACTCACTCCCGTCATTGTTATGACTTTCGAGTTCTGTCAAAAAGGGGCAACTGTAGACACCCATTTTTGACCATCCTCAAGACTTGGACGTCACCGTTTGAACACTTTGTGATCATCCATGTTTGTGTTCATCTTGAGTTCTCGAAGGTCTCGACCACGCGCCTTGCCTCAAGATCTCTCGACTCGCCTGTTTTGTGTTTGGTTTTGGACCAAACACTTGTTGTTTTGCTTCTGAGGGTAGGAAATGGCTTGTTGGCCATCTCCACACCTCACCGGCCATGGCTTGAGGCCACCGGACCTGTTTTGTTGCTACCGGCCATTGGTTATGGCCGGTCGGCATTCTTTATGGTCGGCCGACCATTGTTTTGGTCAATTTGTCATTTTTGGCTAGCCGATCACTGTTCATCTGCTTTTGGCAGATATTTTATGCTAGCTGTGATAGCTGACATCCACAATGCACCCCCTCCATACACGTGTATGGAGAGATTTCCCTCTTGCTTAGCTTGTTTTGTAAGCTTTGCAAGAGTGAATCTCTATAAAGGGAGGGCTTCTCCTCCCTCCTCAAGGGTTCCAAGAAGTTCCAGAGCTCTGAGATTAGGGTTAGAGGATTGTGTATTTATTCTATCTCTATATCTCCTTCTTCTTCCATTTTGTGTGTGTTTAAGGTGTTTTTGTTCATAGTTTTGCATAAAAACACCTAGTGCTACACTTTCCTTCGACTACTAAGGTACTAAGGAGTTATTTTCAGAGTTCTTGAGTTGATCTAAGCTTGGAGAGGCTGTTGGAGCATTGTTCTTGAAAGAGGTCTTCAAGGGTAAGAACTTCACCCCTTTATTTCCCAATTTTGCATAGGTTTTTAGCCATTCTTGCATCTATTTTTAAGCTTAGTGTATAACTAGTAAAAGTTATGTTTTTACTTGCTTTTAATAGTTTTTTAAGGTCTCTTTGAGGTTTGGGGTTGTTTGACCCCTCTTAGGCCTTGTTTGGCTTCATTTTTGTGCACTTTTGGTGAGCTCCGGGACCACCTTGTGTTGGCCTCCTCACCACTGAAATTTAGAGGGATTTCAGTGGTGGGGATGGTGTTTTGAGGTCCTAAGAAGGAGAGGGTCATCCTCTCTCCTTGTTGTCTTCAATACTTGCCATTTTAGCCTCATATGTGAGCACCTTTCTTGAGTTCATGTTGGCCATGTCTTAAGTAGTATTTGCGCTTATTTTTCCATGATATAGCACTGTTTTTAGTTGGTTTAGACATACTATGCATGCTTGGCATACTTGTCTTGTAATGCCGTGAAATTGCCTTAACATGCTTTGTGCTTTGAGCCTTGTTTCTAGCATGATTTTGGTTTAGCTTTGTGAAGCTTTTATGCATGTTTTGATGTGCTTGAGGTCTGATTTTGGTCATTTGGGTCATCCATGACTTGCTTTGTATAGCTACCATGCAATCTCCCTTTGTAGGCCTTGAGTGTTGGATCCTCTAGCATGCTCTACTTGCATCATTTTAGTGGTTTAGCACCATTAGTTATGTCATTTCAGTCCATATAGTATGCTTGTATACTTGCATTTATGGCCCCTTTGATGTTTCAAGAGCTTTGTGTTTTTATGCTCCATGTTTGGGTCATCATGCATGCCTTTAGACTTAGGCCATTTAGATGCCATCTAAATGTGTTTTGGGCCTTGTCTCGACCTACATTGGGACTATTTTGAGTCCTCTCGACCCTTTGGGACTTGCCTTGCATAATCATGGTTTAAGCCCCTTTGACAGCTTTGAGCCTTGAACCTTGTTTGCATGCTTTGATTGTTTTGATTAGTTGGTTTGGCACCATCCTTAACATGATTTTCAGAGTTTTATCATGCTTGACTTTTGTCCATGTTTGTCCCCTTTTAAGTGTGCTTAAAAGTCCCCTTTCTATGCTTAAGTATTGGACCATGTTTGCATACATGTTTGTATGTACATCTGCTTTCATGTGCTTAGCATATTAGCCACTGTTTGGGGCTTAAAAGTTACTCCTTCATGCTCAAGTTTTGGACCATGTGTGCATGAATGCTTGTGTGTACATTTGCCTTGCATGTTGTCACATACTTGGCCCATAGTCATGTTGTCACATACTTGGTCTATTGGCACGTTGTCGCATGTTCAAGTGGTGTTGCATTTGGTATGGATCTTGTGTTAAGTTGTTTCACATGTTCCTATGCTAAGTCCCCTTCACATGTTGTTGCATGCTGGTCATTAGCATTATTGTTACATGTCTAGCATGCTTGGTTGCTTAGGTTGTGTGCCTAGTGCTCATTACTTGCTTGCACGCTCATATTGTATACTTATCTTGCATGCTTAGGTTGCATTTGGCATGCATGCCTTGCCTCTTGAATCACCATGATAGAGGTTGGGCCCCTTAGGTGTTTGTGTGCATTTCATTTGACATCAAAATGCACAACTTGACACCTCGGACCATCATGCATTGAAATGCACGATTGGTGGTCCGAGAGTCGAGGACCAAACTCCCTTAAGTTCATAACATGATAGGGAGGGCTGCTTTTGGCAGATATTTTATGCTAGCTGTGATAGCTGACATCCACAGTTGTTTTTCACCAGCTTCCTAAAGATATTTTCTTTACAGCTGGCACAGCTAGAAGGCACCAGAACCATCCTCCATACACGTGTATGGAGGGATGACCTCGGACCCTTAGCTTCCTCAACAAGCTTGAGGCTTGCTTTCTTATAAGAGGGAGGCTCCCCCTCCCTCCTCCAGGTTCAGAAAAAGTTCCTTGAGCTATACATATAATCTATATCAATACATCTTGATTTCCCTCTTGTTTTGTGCTTTAAAAGTGAAGCCGAGCACGCATGCATTGGACCCTCTTCCTGAGGCTTTTTACCGCTTTATTAGCTTAGTTAATTTGCTTAACTAGTTAAGTGGTCTGTAACTATTTAATTAGCTTGTTAGTTAGTTAAATTTGTATTATTCTTTTGGTCCCTCCGAGAGAGGGCGAATTGTGTAATAAGCGTACGTGTGTGTGATGCATGTCTTCCAACCCCTACTTCTTTCTCCCTTTTACTTACCTGCTTTTGATGCTTAGTATTAGGGCATATTTCAATTAGCATCCTTATGCTATGCATGTGTGCATTCATTCATTTGTATTGCATGTACCCGGCTCGGCACATCATACTAATTGCATAGTATTTCAAATCTAACTTGAATACATATTATCCGTTGCATTTCACATGCCATCCATAGATTAGCCTAGCCTAGCCTATTCTAGCTGCATTTTGCCTGTGATGCATTAGTCATCTTAACATGGACTTGGATCATACATTTGATTACTAACATGTTCTTTGTTTTGGCTTGGAGTACACTGTGAGTGTTTTATGCTTTAGCATCTCGCATGTATGTGAACATTAACATGAAAGCATGCTTGCCATGAGGCTAACTGTTTAGTTGATTTATTGCCTGAATGCCTGTGGGTGAAGGTTGGATTGTTTGAATTGGAATAATTCATTGAAATCCGTATTTTAGCCTACTTGCGAGTAGCAAACCTCAAATCATTTCTAAATAACGAATATGCGATGCTTTGTTCCAAATTAGGCGATCTAGTATATACTTTTGTGTTGTGCGCATCACATCGTAAGATTAGCTAATTAATCGGATTAAGAATGCATAATGTTTTCAAAACTAGATATCATGGTTAGTATAGGCCGATCTTTGATCGGGCGAGCAGGGGTGCTCATAGTTGACCTTCCCCAATCGTACCCAAGTTCCCGAGCCGAGGCAACTTTGGCGATGATGGACACGTGGCCTTAGGCAAACGAGTCAGGGTTTCCAAAATCCCCCCAAAATAAAATATTTAGGTGGCGACTCTGTATCTGGCAAAGCAGTCCATGTTTGGCACTTCTTTTCAAAATCTGTTTTTCTCAAAACGAGTTCCGTTTTGGAATTTTGTTTTTTAAAAAAATCTTAAAAAACAAAACTACACCATTTAAGATCTTGCCATTTATTTTACTCTAATTTATTTTTATAATCTCAAACAAACTCTTAACTATCAATTTCTCGAAACCCTAAAAAGTTTGTTCTCATCGGCTAACCATCTATCTACCTTCGTCGGAGACTCTCTATCGCTTGCACCATACTATTCAGGTTTGTACGAATACAACATATTTGCTCTTTGAATATTGGTAGGCCTCAACAAAAAACATATAATTTTTTTCAATATTGTAATTGTGATTGATTGGTTTTTTTTCCCTGTAGAATGTTATGAGTTATTTTTTTTTCTTTGTCTTTAGAACTATTGCTTTCGTTATTAATACTAGATGCTAGATGTGTTTACCTTTATTGGTGCCCCTTTGTGCGTTGCTTTGTTTAGTCTCTACAGTTTATTTATTATTATTATTTTTTGACATCAATAAAGTGAACAATAAAATATATAAATAAATTAATACAAAATATTCTAAAATTAATGAATGACTAGATTTAAGATTTTTTATTGTTTAACTTTTATTTCATATTTTCAAAAATAAGAACAATAATGTTACATCTATCATATTGTTATACCGTATTATATTTATCATTTTATTTGTCAACAACATATTGTTGTAATAATGAATTTTGTGGAATAAAAAAAGGTGAATCTTAATTCTTTCAATTGGTCAATTGGTGATTGCTCTTTGTCAATTTTTTCTGTGCCATTAAATGTTAGGTTGTTTTGAGGTTAGAAACATTTTTTTTTAATCAAAAGGCATTATGTTCTAGAGAATATGTTATGCTACTTCAAAATTAGAGAAGATAATTCTAAAAAATTTAATAGTAAAACTTGGCATCTTATTAGATAAGTAGAATAAAAAATTATAAAAATTATAAACAAAGACTAATATTTTATTTTTTATTTTTATTTTTTTTACAGTGACATCTATATAAATTTTATGTCATGACAATCTCAAAAAATCTTACAATACTTTTATATTTGTTCTCAATTTTTTAGATTTGTTGGTGTTAGAATGGAGAATGATGGACATGAGGGTTGTAGCAAAAATATGGGGGAGTTGACCAAAGATAAAACACCATGTCTTGGCATGGAATTTCATTCAGAGGAAGTCACAAATCAATTCTATAATGAATATGGAAGGATTATGGGGTTTGGCATTAGAAGAGATTACCATAGCAAAAGTAGAAAAGAGGGTGCTATGATTAACAGGAAGTTTATTTGTTGTAAGGACGGAGAAAAAGAAAAAGATAAACAGTACATGATTGTAAATCATCCTAAACATGAGACAAGAACAAAGTGCAATGCATTTATGTATGTATCTTTGGATCGAGGCTTGTCAAAGTGGATAGTGAAAAAGTTTGATGACAACTACAACCATCCTTTGCATCTTCCTCAGTGCACACATTTGATACCATCTCAAAGAAAGTTAAATCAGGTTCAGGCTTTGAATGTTGATATAGGTGATGAGACTGGTATCTCTCTTAAAGCATCACACGATCTCATTAGTGCCTTAGAAGGGGGAAAAGAAAATTTGGGATTCATGAGAGAAGACCAAAAAAGCTACTTGCGTGGAAAAAGACAACGAAATTTGCAATACGGAGAAGCTGGGAGTTTATTAAGATTTTTTCAGCGACAAGCAGCTGAAAATCCATATTTTTACTATGCAATTCAATTGGATATGGATGAGATGATTACTAATATTTTTTGGGCTGACCATGAGATGATTACAGATTATGAACTTTTTGGTGATGCCGTATCATTCGATACAACATTTCGCACAAATAAGGAGTATTGGGCACTAGCTTTATTTACTGGTTTTAACCACTTTAGAAAGACAGTGATTTTTGGTGCCTCATTATTATATGATGAAACTACAGCTTCATTTGAGTGGTTATTTGAAACATTTTTGCATGCAATGTCGGGGGAAAAGCCTAGATGTTTTTTTGCAGACCAAGATCAGGCCATTAAGGCAATATCTGTAGTCATGCCTAAGGTTTTCTATGGATTATGCACTTTCCACCTAATGCAAAATGCTTTGAAGCATTTAGGGCACTTGTATAAGAGTGGTTCAAAATTTGGTAGTGATTTCAAAGCTTGTATTTTTGGATGCGAGGATGAACACGAGTTAATTAAAGCTTGGGATTCTTTGATTGATAAATACAACTTGTATGAGAATGCGTGGATGAAGAAGACTTGGGAAAAAAGAGAGCAATGGGCGCACGTATACATGAAATACTAGTTCACTGTGGGAATGCGAAGCACCCAACTTAGTGAAAGCCTGAACGCAACATTAAAGAGGTATTTGCAAGCTGATCATAATATTGTTCAATTTTTTACCCACTTCAATCGGATTGTTGTAGATAAGCGATACGAAGAAGTAAAAGCTATATATAATTCTAGACAACAATTGTCGAGAATGAAATTGAAAAGGTCTCCAATTTTTAACCAAGTTGCGAATTTGTACACCCCTCCTATCTTTGACTTATTTCATAATGAGTTGGATATGTCTCTTTCTTGTCAAGTGAAGCAATGCCATGAGTTAGAAGGAGAAGTTCGGTGCATGATTAGCTTGTATGGTGATGATAGAGAGTATATTGTGGAGGGTAATATGGAAGTCAATGAGTTAGGAGGAGAAAAAATTTGTCAAAAAATTTGTTGCACTTGTCAAAAGTTTGAAAACATTGGAATTTTATGTGATCATGCAATTAAAGCACTTGACAGAATGAATGCTATGGAAATTCCTGAGAGGTACATATTAGGTCGATGGAGATTAGATGCCAAGAGTGGTGAAATTAAATGAGGAAAAGTTGAAGTGGATAAGAATGATCCCAGGTTAGAGATATCAGCACGTTACAGGGATCTTTGTCCTAGGATGGTAAAGCTAGCAACTCAAGCATCTGTTTATAAGTCTGCTTATCAATTGGTTGATGAAGGGATTAAGGAACTGTGTACAAAAGTGAATAAAATGATGGTATCATTTGATGATTTGGGTGATTGTGGTAGTGGAAGCAACATTGATATGACTTCTAATCCTAACTTTGCACGAGTTAAAGGCTTAAAAAAAAAGGTGGACAAAAGGGTAGGGGTAGATTAAAACCTTGGCATGAGAAGACTAGTAAGAGGAAAAAAATTATTTCACAACTTACCGACCTTAGTAAGGTATCGTTCACCTAATTTGATTCTAATTTTTGCTTTCTTTTAGACTCATGTAATGTATTGATAAATGTTATAATTTGTTTAGAAAATTGGCCAATCAAGCAACACGTTAATTGTTCAAAGTTCCTCTTTATGCCA